ACTCTGTCACCCAGACTGGAGTGCAGAGGCCGCTCCCGGCCACCGCAGCCTCGACCTGCTGGGCTCCAGCCAGCCTTCCGAAGTAGCTGGAACTACAGGCGCGCGCTACCATGCCCGGCTAATTTTTGATTTATTGTAGAGATGAAGTCTCACCAAGTTGCCCAGGCGGATCTCAAACCCGCGAGCTCAGGCAATCCATTCACCTTGACCTCCCAAAGCGCAGGATTACAGGCTGAGCCACTGAGCCCGGCCTAAAGTTGTTAAATTTTTTAGGGGTAATAAGTACTAGAGGGTTTTTTTTTTTTTTTTAAATCTTTTTCATCTGGAGATAATACTGAAATATTTGGATATAAAAAAATAGGCCTGGGATTTGCGTCAAAAGAACATAGTGTGTGGAAATGGTGCAGAAATATAAATGAAGCACAAATGACCATGACTTGATGGGTGATCCATTCTTTCTACCATGGAATATATTTGTTTTCCATAGCAGAAAGTTAAAAAATATTAATAAAACATGCAACATGTTGGAATGAGTAGAGGGTTGCAGTTTTGCAAGACGAAAATGTTTTGGAGACTGTTTAGATAACAATGTGAACTGAAGTGTAAACTTAAAAAATTTAAGATAAGCTGGGTGCGGTGGCTGAAGCCTGTAATTCTAGCGCTTTGGGAGGCCAAGGCGAGAGAGTTGCTTGAGCTCAGGGGTTCGAGACTAGCCTGGGCGACTTGACGAGACCTCATCTCTACAATAAATAAAAAATTACCCAGGTGTTTTAGCATGCACCTGTAGTTCCAACTGCTTGGAAGGCTGAGGTGGAAGGATGTCCTGAACCCAGCAGGTTGAGATTGCGGTGGCTGTGAGTGTGCCATTGTAATGGCGCCCTCTGTGAGGGTGACAGAGTGAGACTCCAGCTCAAAAATATATATATATAAGATAGAAAATGTTATGTGTATGTTACCACAATGTTTTAAAAAGTGTGTTTTGGTTTTTTTTTGAGTTTCTATCATCTAGGCTGGAGTGCACTCATGGCTACTACAGCCTCGACCTGCTGGGCTCAGGCGATCCTTCCACCTCAGCCTTCTAAGTAGGTGGAACTACTCGCATTTGGCAATTCACCCAGCTAATTTTTGATTCATTGTAGAGACGAGGTCTCGCCAAGTTGCCCAGGCTGGTCTGGAACCCCTGGGCTCTGGCAGTCTTTTCACTTCTGCCTCCCAAAGTGCAGGAATGACAGGTGTCAGCTGCCTCACCTAGCTGAGACTTTTTCTTAAATTTGGTAACAAAATCCTCCACCCCCCTCAAGAGCTGAAGCTTTTTCTTAAATTTGGTAACAAGATCCTCAACCTCCCTCCCCAACAAAAGAAAGGAAAAATGTTGGATCCTAACTTTAGATAACATTTCTGTTACTCTTACAGTTTTGATACTACTGCTTTATTGGCAGAGGTTTATGTAAGGTTAGTGGAAGCGTTTTTGTAGAAACTGACTTGTGACTTTGGGGGAAGGACTCTTCTTGACTTGATATTTGTTTCTTACTTACCTCCTTAGGCTGGTAACAAGAGTTTTTCACGTGGCCAGGAGCTGGCCCTTAGGTCTTATGTGCTGGTTGAGTCTGTCTGCAAGAATCTTCAGACCCTGGCTATGGCGGTGGCTTCTCAGAATGCTGTGTTGTTGGAAGGACCAATAGGTTGTGGCAAAACTTCCTTAGTTGAACATTTAGCTGCAGTGACAGGTAGAAGGAAGCCGCCTCAGCTTCTCAAAGTCCAGCTTGGAGATCAGACTGACAGTAAGGTAATAAAGAAATGGCAAGTTTTCATGGGTTGGGATGCTTGTAGATATTTGCATTCAAGTATTGTTTTTGTTCAGAGAAATATAAGAATGGTAATTGGCCTGTTCAAGCTGTGTAAACCTTAAGTGCCTACTTATATTCCTATAGAAGTTCAACACAATTAAAAGATGTAGTGTTGGCTCTTCAGGTGTGGCTTTTCAGTAACTGCTTTTTCCTCTTTCTGCAGTTGCTGTTGGGGATGTATCGCTGCACAGATGTCCCTGGAGAGTTTGTGTGGCAGCCTGGCACCGTGACACAGGCAGCCACAATGGGCCACTGGATCCTTCTGGAGGATATTGACTATGCCCCCTTAGATGTGGTATGTCATCTCGCTAAATCATTGCCTCTGAATATTTTCTCTTGTTTTTGAAGAACATTTTGATAATAGAGATTCTGGGAGTGGCTTAAACAAAGTACTTGATTAGTCGTGTTAAGCTGTAGGAAGTTCTTCATGGTTACCTGCCTGATCTAATTTGAAGTCTTGGATTACCTGGCAGATTTTTTTGTTTGATCGAGAATCTATAACATTTTGCTTCTGCTGTTTCCTGTAATGGTTGAATATGTGGCCAGTTTTACATTAGCTTTTTTTTTTCATCTAATTGAATATGTGATCAGTTTCACAGCCTTTCCAATAATAGGTCTGGTGGAGAATATCTTAAGTGAGTTATAGGTTCATTGAGAACTTTGAGATCCTGCTTCACAGCTGTGGCAGCTGGAGAGCAGTGGGCTGAGGACAGGCAAAGTAGGAGATGGTTTAGTAAGTGTGTGCTTGTCTTTGTTTCTGTAAAAAATATGCTGGATGTGTATTTAGGCTTTTCCCCTCCCCCACTCACACTGCTGTATTTAGGTTTTTATTTTTTTAATTTATTTTTCTTTTTTCTTTTTTCTTTTTTTTCTTTTTTTTTTGAGTTGGAGTCTCCCTCTGTCGCCCAGACTGGAGTGCAGTGGCCGCTCCCGGCCACCGCAGCCTCCACCTGCTGGGCTCGATAATCCTTCCGCCTCGGCTGTCCAGGTAGCTGGAACTACAGGCACGCGCTACCACACCCTGCTAATTTTTTTTATTTATTGTAGAGGTGAGGTCTCGCCAAGTTGCCCAGGCGGGTCTCAAACCCGCAGGCTCAGGCATTCCACTCACCTTAGCCTCCCAAAGTGCAGGATTACAGGCTGAGCCACCGAGCCCGGCTAGGTTTTTAAAAAGATCATTTCTGTGTATGAAATTCAGTCATTGAGACAGTCTGTGCTTCCTCTGTATTCTGAACACTAACCAAAAAAATGTGTTGCAAGATGAAATATTTTTTCTTTGGATAGGTTTTCCTGAGATTGATTTTAATTTTCTTTTAATGTGAACCCTCAAATTAACTGCATATGGACTTTCTTGAATATGAGAGACAAAATGAGAGTGAGAGGTGTGTGTGTGTGTGTGTGTGTGTGTGTGTAAGTTTAGGGAGCTAGGGGAAGGAGTGACTGAAAATAAGTGTATGTTGTATCAATGTTTTTATAGTGTGATGAGGTAAAGATGTCCTGGGGATGCTGGCCCATGCCAGGCCTCACAGTTTTATCACTGTGTTTTAGGGGCTTAATGTTCAGTTGCGTAAGTTGTATAGGGCTGGAAACTCAGTTTTCTTAAGAAGCCCAGAGCCAGGACTGACTCCCACCAATGAGACTTAAAAATAAAACTGAGATATAAACTACAATGCCAGTTTAAAAATATTTGTTGTGATTTTTTTCCCCCTTTTTAGTGCCTTCGTTCCTGGGCAATTTTTTTAGATTCCAGGTTTTCTGTTAAGTCATTAGGCTTGTGGATTGTGGAATTTAAACCAAAGAAGGTGGATACACATAAGGGATAGTCCATCAAGGCCATGGTGGAGCCTAGGGACCTGCCCTAGTCCTACAGCTAAATCCATTTCTCTGGTGACCAAGTCCAGATTAAAGACCAAGCTGACAATTTCTGTCCTGGTTTTCCTTTGTCAGTGCCTGATGAGCATTCTTGTACTCTGAGTTCCATTTGGTGCAGAGTATTTCCACTCTGGTAAAACATTTGTTTCCAGAAGATACACTAAATAAACTTAATTATCTTTTTTTTTTTGAGTTGGAGTCTCGCTCTGTCGCCCAGACTGGAGTGCCGTGACCGCTTCCGGCCACCGCAGCCTCGACCCGCTGGGCTCTGGTGATCTTTCCACCTCAGCCTTCCAAGTAGCTGGAACTACAGGCGGCACTACCACGCCCGGCTAATTTTCTTTTTTTTTTTAATTTATTGTAGAGATGAGGTTTCGCCTACTCAGACAGGTCTTGAACCCGCAGGCTCAGGCAATCCATTTACCTCAGCCTCCCAAAGCGCTAGAATTACAGGCTGAGCTACCGAGCTCTGCTTTTTTCTTTATGTTTTTGACCTGCTGTGCTCCGGCGATCCTTCTGCCTCAGCCTTCCGAGTAGCCAGAATTACAGACATGCGCTACCACACCCGGCTAATTTTTTGATTTATTGTAGAGATGAGGTCTCAACAAGTTGCCCAGGTGGGTCTTGAACCCATGAGCTCAGGCAATCCACTCACCTCAGCCTCCCAAGGTGCGGGATTACAGGCTGAGCCACCGAGCCCGACTACTTAATTATCCTTTATAGTGAAGTAATATTTATTTAAGAACATATGCAGGTCTCCTTGCTTATTATTTTGATGTTTCCAGAACTTCTCAGCTAATAGTTGACCCATTACCATCTTATTTTATTATTATTATTTTTTGAGGGGTCAGGGGTCTCACTCTGTCCCCCAGTCTGGAGTGCAGTGGCATGCTCACAGCCACCGCAACCTCAACCAGCTGGGCTCAGGAGATCCTTCCACCTCAACCTTGCAAGTAGCTGCAACCACAGGCTCGTGCCATCATTCCCAGCTAATTTTTTGCTGTACTGTAGAGATGAGGTCTTGCCAAGTTGATCAGGCTGGTCTCAACCCCCCCCCAAAGTGCTGAGATTATAGGCGTGAGCCACCGTACCCAGATAATTTTAAAGTAGCTTTTGCTGACATCATTCAAGATGATTTTCTTGAACTTTAAGTTTTGGAGTATCTTGGAGTTCCTCCTATATTATTTTGGGTTCCTCTTTCATCTCCTAACCATGTATGAAATATGATGCTTAAAAAAAATTATGTTTGATATTTTAGAACCCTCTTCTTTGGCTCTCTGCTCTTCTCACTTTGTTTTTTCTTTTCAGACTTCCTTTATAAACTCACAACTCTTAGATCCATATGTCTAGTCTACACTCTTAAAAAATAAAGTCTCTACTTGGGTGTCCCATTTGCAGCACAAGTTTAAGATGTCCTAATTGGTTCTTGTCTTTTTCTCAGAATAGCCTTTTCTTTTTTGTATAGTCTTTCTTTTCTTTTTCTTTTGCTTTTTTATACAGGATTTCACTCTGTCACCTAGGCTGGAGTACAGTGGGACAATCAGCGGTCCTCCTGCCTCAGCTTCCCGAATAGCTGTAACTAAAGGCACAAGTCACTATGCCTGGCTAATTTTTGTATTTTTAATTTTTTTTTTTGTAGTGACAGAGTCTCACTTTGTTGCCCTAGGCCAGAGTGCAGTGGCACAATCACTGCTCTGCAGTCTTGACCTTTTGGGCTCAGGCGGTCCTTCTGCCTCAGCCTCCCAAGTAATCAGACTATAGGCGTGCACCATTATACCTGGCTAACATTTTTATTTTTTGCGTACACAAGGTTTTGCTATGTTGTCTAGGCTGGTCTTGAACTCCTGGGGTCAAGCAATCCTCTCCCCTCAGGCTTCCAAAGTGCTGGGATTATAGGCAAGAGCCACTGCACCTGGTCTAGCCTTTTCTTTCTTTCTTTTTTTTTTTTTGGAGTTGGAGTCTCACTCTGTCCTCCAGGCAGAAGTGCAGTGACACGCTCACAGCCACAACAGCCTCAACCTGCTGGGCTCCAACGATCCTTCTGCCTCAGCCTTCCAAATAACTAGAACTACAGGCACGTGCTACCACACCCGGCTAATTTTTTTGATTTATTGTAGAGATGAGGTCTCGCCAAGTTGTCCAGGCGGATCTCGAACCCGCAGGCTCAGGCAATCCACTCACCTCAGCCTCCCAAAGCTCTGGGATTACAGTCTGAGACACCGAGCCCGACTTGGAGGCCTCTTATCACTTATTTCTGAGCCTTCCATCTGCCTCCTGCATTTCAGATGCACATTCTACCCCAGCCATGACAGAACCCTCTCCTACAGACTCTAGACCTGTCCATTTTTTTTTTTTTTTGAGTTGGAGTCTCACTCGGTCGCCCAGACTGGAGTGCAGTGGCCGCTCCCGGCCACCGCAGCCTCGACTTGCTGGGCTCCGGCGATCCTTCCACCTCAGCCTTCCGAGTAGCCGGAATTACAGGCGCGCGCTACCACGTCCGGCTAATTTTTTAAATTTTATTGTAGAGATGAGGTCTCGCTGCCCAGGCGGGTCTCGAACCCGCGGGCTCAGGCAATCCACTCACCTCAGCCTCCCAAGGTGCGGGATTACAGGCTGAGCCACCGAGCCCGGCGACCTGTCCATTTTTAATGCCCTTGCACACTTCTGCCTGCAGTGCATGTGCCATTTCTCTCCCACCAAAGCTGGCTAAGTTCTGCTGATCCTTTAAGATTCAGCCAGTGTCCTTACCCCTGGAAAAGTTCATTGCCCCGCTTTTACATAACTCCATTCTGTTTTGGAACCGCCCTGTCTCCACTTGTCACATTGTATACCCTGGTGTCACACTGGTCATGCTGTGTGGCAGTGTGCATGCTTTCTCCTCCCATCAGGATTGAGGCTCGAAAGCCTTGGTCCTGTCAGTGTTGTTAGTGTGTTGTTAGTGTCTTGTTTGGCTGTTCTCCACAGGAGGCACTGGTTGTGCTGGAGTGCAGGTTGCTTGGATATGCCTATCCATGTTTTGACTCTTGGTTGCACTTTGAGAGCTAAAGTTTCCTCTAAGGGTGTGTCCATCATTTGGACAGAGGGTTGTTTAGTTCTCCGTTACTTCTGTCTTAATCGCTTTACTTTAACAGTGGGACTTTGTGATTTAGGTTTCTGTGCTGATCCCGCTCTTGGAGAATGGAGAGCTCCTGATTCCGGGCCGAGGTGACTGTCTGAAAGTGGCTCCTGGATTTCAGTTTTTTGCAACCAGGAGGTATGTCCGTGGAACCTTTCTGTTTCCATTCTGGAGCCGCTTCCTGCGTGTTCGTCCAGAAGTCCTGGAATAGAGCTCTGTGGGGTGAATTCAGGCAGGGGTAGTTAGAACTGATAACAGGCCCAATGTTCTTATTCCTGATTTTTTTTCCTTTTTATTTTATTTCATTTTAAAGATGTGGGGTGCAATTCAGGATTAGGTATGCCTGATTATTTTGAATGAGATAACCAATTTATAAAACTTATAAAAGATTTTTTTCCTATTTAAAAATAATTTGACAGTTTAAGAAACTTTATCCTATTTCTATGTTTTAAAAAATAATCAGAGATGAGATTATTGTTAGATAGCCCTGGATTTGAGTCCTGATATTGATATTTTGTATCTGTGTATACCTTGCCTGTTTGATTATTATGGGGCTAATAATAATTCTTCAAATATTACCTGTAAAGAATAAGTGAAATATGACTTGCATTAAAGATCTGTCACATGCCGGGCTTGGTGGCTCAGCCTGTAATTCTGCGCCTTTGGGAGGCTGAGGTGAGTGGATTGTCCAAGCCTGCGGGTTTGATACCTGCCTGGACAGGCAAGACCTCATCTCTACAATAAAATCAAAAAATTAGCCGGACGTGGTAGCGCGCGCCTGTAATTCTGGCTACTTGGAAGGCTGAGGTGGAAGGATTACTGGAGCCCAGTAGGTTGAGGCTGCGGTGGCCGGGAGCGGCCACTGCACTCCAGTCTGGGCGACAGAGTGAGACTCCAACTCAAAAAAAAAAAAAAAAGATCTGTCACATAGTAAGTGTCCAACTAATATCAGTCATGATGGTGATGATATGTAGATTTCAAGCAGTTAAATTACCAAATATAAGCATGAACAAAGGCATAAAAGTTGAGCAGACTTCGCCTGTGCTTTTTCTCTTTTTTTTAGTCTGAGTCTCACTTTGTCAGCCAGGCTGGAGTGCAGTGGGCACACTCACGGTCATTGCTGCCTTGACCTGCTGGGCTCAGGCAATACTTCCACCTCAGCCTTCCAAGTTGCTGGAACTACAGGCATGCGTCACTGTGTCCTGCTAAATTTTTATTGTAGAGTTGAGGTGTCACCAAGTTGCTTTGGTTGGTCTTGAACCCCTGGGCTCAGGGAGTCCTCTTGCCTCAGTTTCCCAAAGTGCTGAGATTGAAGGCATGAGCCACCGTACCCAATCTCTTGCCTACATTTTATATTAACATGAAAATAGTGGCTTATTCCTTACTGCTGGTCTGTACCTTTATAGCTTTCTTGAGTTCTTAAAATGCCCACAGTGACAGTAATTAATATATTGTTATATTTAATGATTATATTAATGTTTGCTTCAGGAAGCATCACTTCTAAAAAGAATATGGAGCTTACCTAACAGTGCTCAAGGATCATTGTACTAGACCCTGTTGCACCCTCCTCCTTTTATTTTGAGATGGAGTCTTGTTTTGTTGCCCAGGGTGGTCTTGAACTTCTGGTCTCAAGTGATCCTTTTGCACTGTTGACATTACAGGCACTTGCCACTGTGCCCACTTGTGTTACTTTTCTTTAATTAATTAGTTATTTTTTAGAGACAGGGTCTCTGTCGCCCAAAATGGAGTACAGCGGCACTGATCGTAGCTTACTATGACCTCTGTTAACCCCCTGGGCTCAAGTGCTTCTCCCTCCTCAGGCTTCTGAGTGACTAGGACTACAGGTGCACACCACCACTGCAGGCTAATTTTTTTATATTGAATTTTTTGTCGAGTCTAGGGTCTAGGATTAAAATTGGGAATTTTGTGTGACTCTTTTTTTATATTGAAATGTAGACTTTTAAGCTGTGGAGGAAATTGGTATCGACCACTAAATAGTCATGCTACTTTGCTAGACAAATACTGGACCAAAATTCACCTGGATAACCTGGACAAGACAGAACTGAATGAGGTATGTGGATATTAGAAAATATCAGTGCCTTTTTTTTTTTTTTTTTTGCTTTTTATTATGGAAAAGTTTCAAACTTACATGAGAAAAGAAGAAATAGTATAATGTACCAACAAAATACTCTTCAACTGAAATTTAACACGTGCTAACATTTTACTGTATTTGTATCATCTATTATTTTTTTCTCCTGTTAATGTGTTTGAAAGCAGACTCCCTAACGTTTCATTCTTAAACATGTCAGCATGCATTTCTAAAAGTTTAAAGGAATTTTCTTTCTTTTTTTTTGAGTCTGAGTCTCACTCTGTTGCCCAGGCTGGAGTGCAGTGCCACACTCAAGATCACTGCGGCCTCGACCTGCTGGGCTCAGACAAATCCTTCCGCCTTAGCCTTCCAAGTAGCTGGAACCACAGGCGTGCACCACCACTCCTGGCTGATGTTTTACATTTTTGTTTGTTGTAGAGACAAGGTCTCAGCAGGTTGCTCTGTCTGGTCTTGAACCCCCGAGCTTAGGCAATCCTCTTATCTCCACCTCCCAAAATGTTGGGATTATAGGTGTGAGCCACTGCGCATGGTGACATTTTCATATATAACCATGATAATGTAATTATACCTAATAAAATGAACATAATAAAATGAACAGTAGTTTCTCAATATCAATTCTTAGATCATACTTGAATTTTCCAAATTGTCCTCACAGGATCTTTTTACTAAGTTAATTTGTAACTAATGTCTTTCACATGTCACAACTTAATGCACATTTTGATCTGGGTATTAATGAAAATTGAGCTGAATTATTTGACATATTTTATCCATTGGTTCAGTTTGTAGGAGTGCTGGTTATCCTAGGCCATTAAGAAGGATGCCTCACTTTACAGTGCTCATGCCCCACCCCTTTTGTACCTCTCACTGGGAAGGGTCTCATACCCCGACTCTTCATTCGGGAGAGGAGCCCACAAAGTATTGCCAGTGGTCATCAGATATGGGAGGGATGCTTTGCTCTTTCTTTATGTAAGTCTATAGAAAAAATGTGACACAAGATAAACTTTTTCAATATTTGATTCTGCATTCTGGGTGTTTATATATACATATATGTGTGTGTTTGTGTGTGTGTGTGTATATATTTGATTCTGCATTCTGGGCATTTACTTATTTATTTATATATATATATTTTATTTATTTGTGTGTGTGTGTGTGATTTATTTTTGAGTTTATTTTTGAGTGTGTGTATTATTTTTGAGTTTATTTTTGAGTGTGTGTGTATTTTTGAGTTTATTTTTGAGTGTGTGTGTATTTATTTATTTATTTTTGAGTGTGTATTTATTTATTTATTTTTGAGTTTATTTTCTATCGCCCAGACTGGAGTGCAGTGGCATGCTCCCGGCCACCGCAGCCTAGACCTGCTGGGCTCCAGTGATCCTTCCACCTCAGCCTTTCATGTAGCTGGGACTACAGGCATGTGCTACCATGCTGGGCTAATTTTTTTTGATGTATTGTAGAGACGAGGTCTCACCAAGTTGCCCGGGTGGGTCTCAAGCCTGTGGGCTCAGGGAATCCATTCGCCTTGACCTTCCAGAGTGCTGGGATTACAGGCTGAGGCACTGGCCCAGCCTATTTATATATTTTTAAAGTCAATCTTACTCTGTTGTCCAGGCTGGAGTGCAGTGGCATGCTCATGGCTCATCGCAGTCTCACCCTCCTGGGCTCAGGTGATCCTTCCACCTCATCTTCCTGAACAGCTGGGAATATAGGCACATGCTATCACGCCCACTTAATTTCTTTTAACTTTTTTCGTAGAGACGAGATCTTGCTGTGTGGCCCAGGCTTGTCTTGATCTCCTAGGCTTAAGCAATCCTACTGCCTCTGGCTCCCAGAGATTATAGTCATGAGCCATCATGCCCGACCTCTCGGTGTTTATTGGAAGGATTTTTAGGGTGCCTAGTTCACCATATTACCGGGAAAAGGTTGATCTTTTAATTTCTAAGAAGCCTTTCCTTGGTAATGTGATTTTACAACTCTGCTTGCAGTGCAGCCTGATTTGCAGTTGAGAGTTTCTTATCTCACTGCAGATTGCAATGTGTGTTTCTGTGTCTGATATGCATTTTCCCCATTTTACTGCCCCTACTGCAAGATCTTCTAGTAACTTATTTGCATTTGTGTCCCAAGCATTCATCTTGTACCTGACATATAGTAATACTATGTCTTGTTGCATTCCATTGTCGAAATGCACCTATTTCTTTTTCTTTTTTTTAACTACTGTATACATTTAAATGTTTAGTTTTTAGATTTAAATTACTAGTCTGTTCTTTGAAAGGAGAGGGGTGGCCGGGCTTGGTGGCTCAGCCTGTAATCCCGCGCCTTTGAGAGACTGAAGTGAGTGGATTGCCTCAGCCCACGGGTTCGAGACTTGCCTGGGCAGGCGAGACCTCATCTCTTCAATAAATCAAAAAATCGGCCAGGCGTGGCAGCACGTGCCGGTAATTCCGGCTACTCGGAAGGCTGAGGCAGAAGGATCGTTGGAGCCCAGCAGGTGGAGGCTGCGGTGGCCGGGAGCGGCCACTGCGCTCCAGTCTGGGCGACAGAGTGAGACTCCGACTGAAAAAAAAAAGAAAGAAAGGAGAGGGATGAAGTTTAGGTGTGATGTTTTGGGGATTGAGAGAATGAAGAGCGTATCCTTTCTTACTGTCTTCTGTACTTGAAGTGTTCAAGGCCAGGCTTATCATTCCATTCCTGTCATGAGCAGCAGTGTGTCACTCTGCCCACAGGAAGTACAGCTGGAGGCTCACCCTCATTGGCTTGATGTACATCCTGTTTGTATAGTTGACTTTAGGAAGTTCTCTTACTATTTTTGATCTTCCAGACTTGCTAATCTTATTTTTAAATTTTTTTTTTTTGAGTTGGAGTCTCACTCTGTCACCCAGCTGGAGTGCAGTGGCACTCTCATGGCCACCCCAGCATCAACCTGCTGGACTAAGGTGATCCTTCCGCTTTAGCCTTCCAAGTAGCTGGAACTACAGGCATGCGTCGCCATGCCCGGCTAATTTTTTGATTTATTGTAGAGATGAGGTCTTGCCAAGTTGCCCAGACTGGTCTCTAACCCGTGGGCTCAGGCAATCTTCTCACCTCTTGCCAGCGTGCTGTGATTATAGACATGAGCTACTGCGCCCAGCCTCTAGACTTACTAATCTTAATACCACTCTCCTTAATAATTGCCTGATGGCTAAAACCTTGGTACCTATTACTTAGGAAATAACAAAATCTCCTATCTTGAATTCATGGAGAATACAAGGAGCTACATTTCTGTTGCTGCTATTCGTAGGTGTCTTATGTTTAGAGAGATTATGTCCTTGACTTCTTGCTGAAATACCAAACTATACTTTATAAAACGAACTTCTTAAAAGAGTGCTGGTCTCATATATAGCGAGTGCCAGGAACTTGCCTCTGGCATTATTGTTATTATTATTACTTTTTTTTTTTTTTTTTTTTT